TCTCTCTCTCTCTCTCTCTCTCTCTCTCATCTCTCTCTCCCCCCCACCCACTGTGCCTCTCTCCCCCACTTGCGCACTCTCTCTCTCGCAAAAAATAAAAAGGGAGTAAATTCTGACACGTGCTCCAACATGGATGAAGCTTGAGGTGAAATAAAACAGTCACAAAAAGATAAATACTGTACGTTTCCGCTTCCCCGAGGTCCTCAAAGGAGACAAAAGTAGAGACAGAAAGGAGAACGAGCGCTTGTTTAATGGGTTAAAACAGAGTTTCAGTGTTGCAAGGTGAGGAGGGTTCTGGAACACAGCAGCGCTGAACTGCACACCCACAAAGGGCCAACATGCTGAATTTTGTTACGTGTATTTTACCACACTTACGAAAAGCGAAACGAAACAAGGCCCAGAGGAAGGGGGCTTGGGGTTGACGACCCTCATGAAGCCCTGTGGGTCGGCCTGGTTTTGCTTCCGGCGGACCACACGCTGACGCGGCCTCAGGAGCGTATGGGGAGGGGAGGTGGGAAGACAGAATCCGGCGGTGGGCTCTCCTCAAGTGGGCCTGGCACCTGCCCCCTTCCCCCGACGGAGACACGCCTACCATCCCTCCCACCCACCCCGGCCACAGGAGTCAGGGGAGGTGGAGAAAAAGCAAAGACGCTTCTGGAAAGGTGACACGGTAATTCTTGTTGGGCAGGTCTGAGGGAGTCCACGGGAAATCCAGGTCTGATTTCTCCTCCCAGGTGGAGCTGAGAGGCGAGGCCGCCAACATATTATTTTGAACACTCTGGAAAGCAAACAAACCCAGGATAAAACACCCTGTGGCTCTTAATACTGAGGGGAAGGCAGCGTGATGTAGGCTTTGTTTGCTATGCTTTATGATTTATTTATTTGTTTATTTATTTTTTTAACGTTTATTCATTTTTGAGGGACAGAACAGAGCGTGAGCGGGGGTGGGACAGAGAGAGAAGGAGACAGAATCCAAAGCAGGCTCTGGGCTCTGAGCTGTCAGCACAGAGCCCGACGCGGGGCTCGAACTCACTGACCACAAGATCATGACCTGAGCCGAAGTCGGACACTTAACCGACTGGGCCACCCAGGCGTCCCTGTTTGCTTTAGCGTAGATACTTTGACCTTGGAAAGACCAATTCTGCCTCATCAGTCTCCTTACCTGCCTGGACATCAGGGGCATTGCTCGGACCCCCTCTCGATGTCTTTCTGTCCCCACCCCGTCCTCCGCCGACCCTTCCCTTTTGGTGGGCTCCTCTTGCCTCGGCTTCCCGGACGCTGAGCCCTCATGCTCTCCCTCCCCCTCTGTCTGGTATTTCTCTGTCTTCTTCCCCCTTCCTCGTTCTCTCCGGTGTACATGTTCCTGCCTTTCTTCCTTCACAGCATGGAAATAAATGTTCCACCACGTCCGGGCACACGGCCGTGAACAAGATGGACGCGGCCTGCCCTCCCGGGACTTCCGGTCTGGTGGAGAGACAGGCATTCTGGGAAGGAAACCGCGCTCCTCTCCCCATCGTGGAAACAGCTTTGTCACGTTATCCAAACACAACACAATTATCCTTCGTGTTTCCCTGCCTTGCCGTCTCCTGAGCGGACACTGGGGCTCCCTTCCTAGTAAGGCCTCCAGAGCCCCTGGCCTCCTTTCTGGCATGGTTTTGGCAGGAATGTGGGGCAACCTGGACCCCAAGGACAGCAGGGAAGGACTCAGATGAGGACAAAGACTCTCATGGAAAAAGCCCTGGACTCTCACTTTCCACCCCTCTACTCATCTCCCCTCCTCTGCCCAGGGGTCTGCTGCAAGGCCATACCCCTCCCCCATGGCATTTCGGAAAGGCTCTCGTATTTCAGGCAGGGGTCATGGATGGAGCCTGGCTGTCTAGCAGCTTTCATTTTTTTTTTTTAAGTTTATTTATTTGGAGAGAGAGAGCGGGAGAGGGGCAGAGAGAGAGAGAGAATCCCAAGCAGGCTCCGCGCTGTCAGTGCGGAGCCCGATGCGGGGCGCGAACTCACACACTGTGAGATCACGATCTGAACTGAAATCAAGAGTCGGACGCATAACCGGCTGAGTCGCCCAGGAGCCCCCATCTAGCAGCTCAGTATCTCTGTCTCCCTCCAGCCAAAACAGTTTGCTCTTTATCATGTGCCCTATTTTCATCTTGGGGTGAGAATGACTTTCCAAGGATGGGGAAGACAAAGGCCTCATCCCTGCTCCCTTATGTGAATGAAACCAGTCTAGAGTCCGACAACCCCAAATGATATTTTTCTCCTCGTGGCCCCTGCCACCACCACATCCTGTGTCATCAAAGATGGTGAACCTAGAAAACTCTTGACTGGGTCACATGAGGCTATGACGTCAACAGGAAGAGGAGGGGCCCAAAACAAAGACAGAATTCTTACTTGCCTCCTAGTCATCTTATCACTTAAGAAATGATGAGGGGTTGGGGCGCCTGGGTGGCGCAGTCGGTTAAGCGTCCGACTTCAGCCAGGTCACGATCTCGCGGTCCGTGAGTTCGAGCCCCGCGTCGGGCTCTGGGCTGATGGCCCGGAGCCCGGAGCCTGTTTCCGATTCTGTGTCTCCCTCTCTCTCTGCCCCTCCCCCGTTCATGCTCTGTCTCCCTCTGTCCCAAAAATAAATAAACGTTGAAAGAAAAAAATTAAAAAAAAAACAAAACGATGAGGGGTTTAGGAGTTCTGTGGGAGGAACTGGGGGCAAAAACCAATTTATACACTTTCTCTTATCTCATATCACGTAAGGTAACACTCACAGTCTCCTGGGATTAGGACAGGGAACGATACTACTCATCAGTTAACTATATACAGAGAGAACGTATGATGAAATAAATATAAATACACATTTATATTCTGGGTAGAGTTTTTGTCGGATGTTGGTTTTTTTTTTTTTACATTTTGGAAAAAGTTTATATTCACAGAAACTTTGAAAAGTTAGATTAGATGCCTTTGGGGGGGTCATTATTCAGCCCCCCACAAGTAGTATATTCATACAGTGGAATGTTACACCAGGAAAATAACTAAGTTATATCCTGCAACCTGGAGGTGCCTCACAAACATGATCTTGAACAAGAGAAACTTGTTGCAAAAGAGTACACGCTGGGGGCGTCTGGGTGGCTCAGTCAGTTACGCATCTGACTTTGGCTCAGGTCATGATCTCACAGTTTGTGAGTTCGAGCCCCGTGTCGGGCTGTGTGCTGACAGCTCGGAGCCTGGAGCCTGCTTCGGATTCTGTGTCTCCCTCTCTCTGCCCCTCCCCTGCTTGTGCACACGCTCTCTCAAAAATAAAGAAATCAACATTAAAAGAGAGAGAGAAAGAGAGAGAGAGACCAAGAGACTCTTAACAATAGAGAACAAACTGAGGGTTGATGGAGGGAGGTGGGTGAGGGATGGGCTAGATGGGTGATGGGCATTAAGGAGGCCACGTGTTATGATGAGCAGTGGGTATTGTATGGAAGTAATGAATCACCAAATTCTACCTCGGAAACCAATATTGCGCTGTATGTGAACTAACTAGAATTTAAGTAAAAATTTACAAAAAGTATTGCAAAGCTGCTATGTGCCATGAGCTGGATTCATACAACACTGTACAAATATTTACATATGTGATTAAGTTATTAAAAGTAAGCAGCACGGGTGCTTGGGTGGCTCAGTCGGTTAAGCATCCGACTTCAGCTCAGGTCACGATCTCACATTTAGTGGGTTCAAGCCCCGCGTCGGGCTCTGTGCTGACGACTCGGAGCCTGGAGCCTGCTTCTGATTCTGTGTCTCCCTCTCTCTCTCTGCCCCCTCCCCCTCTCATGCTCTCTCTCTCTCTCTCGAAAGTAAATAAAACATCTTAAAAAATTTTTTAAAATTCTAATCTTCACAAGCAACCTATGTGGTAGGTACTTTTATGACATCAATGTTACATATGGGGAAACTGAGGCACAGAGAGGCTAAGTAACTCGCCCAAGATCACACAGACAGTGAGTGGCAAGAGTTGAGATTCTAATCCAAGCGATCGGGTTCCAAGTCCCGCCTCTTTTGTTTTTGTTTTATTTTTTTAATCGAAGTACGGTTGAGTCCTGCCTCTTAACCAACACACTGTACTGCCTGTATGTTTCTGAGCTGTTTGAAAAGAAAATATTTTTCTCAATGAGTACGCCGTACTT